GGTTGGGGCGCATGCGCACGCATTGTAGAAAAGATCTTGTGCGCATGCGGGGTTGCGTGCCTGCATGCTTGCTTGCCCGTGTATGCGGGCCCGTTGCACGCTGTCGTGACATGTGCGTGCAGCATGCCGTGGCAGTGGGAGCGGCGATTGGCTGCTAGAAAGTGTGCCAGGCCGCCCTTTCTATGATTGTCATTTACCCAACTCACCTCCATCCCCCTAAACAACCCGCCTCCCCCCACATGGCCACCACCACCGCCAGCCTGGACCCCTCCCTGGCGCCTGACGGCCGCCACATCGTCCACGCCTTCACGCCAGACTGGGTGGACGCGTGGCAGGTGCGACAGTCGTGGGGGTGATGCTCGGGCCAGAGCGGGCCGTGTGTCACGCACGCCAGTTGCATGCCGCAGCCGGCGAGGCTGCAAATGCAACCCCTGAACCCACCGACAGTCGTACTCTCCACACACTTGGCCGCCCCTCCTCGTCCCCTACTCATCCGCCCCTCCCTCCCCCCCAATTGATCAACCAGCCCGCCACCAGCCGCTACCCAGCCGCACCCCGCGCCCCTTGACACGTCGCATCCCCCCCCTCGCCGCAGGGCCTGTCCCCCTCTGACTACGAGGCTGAGAAGGAGCGCGTGGCGGACGAGATTTGCGCGCGGCTGGAGTCCGTATTCCCGGGGCTGAGGGGCGCTATCGAGTTCAGGGAGGTGAGGGGGAAGGCCTGGGTGTGTGTGTTCGTGAGGCATCGCAGCTGGCCTCAACACTGAAGGGAAAGGGGGTGTCCCAAGGGGAAACAGCGGCGGATGCGTGGCAGGAGAGTGCCCACCAGCTGGGCCGCCGACAGCCCTGCGCATGTGGGTGGTACAGGGAGGCCGGCCGCCGCGAGCCCTGTGCCCTCCCAAACCCAGCCCATGTCGAGCAGCGGCGTGGCCCCCCTCTCCCACCTGGTGGGCCCCTGACCCCGCCCCCCGTTGTCGCGCCCTTCATGCTGACACACACCCCCATCGCGCTCGCCTGTCCCTCACGCCGCATCCTCATGCCGCCACGTGAGTCCCCCCTCCCCAAATCAACAGCACACAATGCCACTGCCGACTAACCCCTGCCTCACCACACCCCTTCCCCCCACCAAATGCCAGGTGGGCACCCCCCGCACCCACCGGCGCTACCTCAATCGCGCCGACGGCACCTACGGCCCCATCCCCTCGCGCCGCCCCCTGGGCATGCTGTCGATGCCCTTCAACACTACCGACATCGACGGCCTCTACTGCGTCGGAGACAGCACCTTCCCGGGCCAGGTGCGCGCCCTGTGCTCTCTCACGCGGCCCGCGTCCAGGCCACGCATTTTGGCCGACTTTAGATCAATGCCCGAGCACTGGTTGATCAAGGGCAGCGGCTGGGCTGGGCTGCTCCAGGTCCTTTCGTTGGTGCTGCATGGCTCCGCCGATTTCTTGGTCTACTTAGCAACGCCCCTCATTGACTGGGCCCACGCCTGCACTTCTGCGACTGGTTTTACCAGCAACATCACTCGGCACGTTTTCAAGAGTTGCAACCGGACTCGCTCCCCTCGCCGCACCACCACCCCGCCTCGCCGCACTACCACCCCACCTCACCCAAGACTCTCCACCCCAAATCCCCCCACGCTCCTCCCCCCCCCAAAGGGCGTGAACGCGGTGGTGTTCAGCGGCTTTGGCTGCGCCCACCGCGTCGCGGTTGACCTGGGGATGGAGAAGGGCTGGCCCGTCGTGGACGCCGCGTACAAGGGGCTCCTGAGCCTCGTGCGCGACAGGTCGTGATCCGTGATCAGGTCTCCCCCGAGGTTGGGAAAACATGCGACCTCGTCAGGCGCCCTGAGCCGCACGGCGGACGGAGCGGCGGCGCCGCGTTCGCTGGGAGGGCTGCGCCGGGGGTGGTCCTGATCGCGGCAGCTTTCTTTGTGCAGCAGCGGCTGCGCTTTGCATTAGCATGACACGAGCCCACCGGTCCAGAGGTGACAAGATCGCACGCACACCCGCCCACCAACAGCCGCCGCAGCGACTTACGCCGCGGCGATTTTGGCCTGCTTGTGAAGGGGTGGTGGCAAGCAGGGGTGGCCCAGCAAAACCTTGTAGCAGCAGCTTGCCAGGGCCCTCCGCAGGCAGCGTTTTTTGTCCGTCTGTGCCGCTTGTGGCCTGGCATTTTTTGCAATGCATGCGCAAGGCTGCAGCGGAATCCATGTTGGTTCCAACTACGGGTGCCTTCCTAGGGGGGGGGCTGACGGGGTGGAGGGGCGTGGCAGTCTGGCTGGACGCCGCACGCTGTTACAGCGTCGGAATGGGGGACCCACTGCCCAAACCCGAGGGGGCGGGGGGAAGCGGCTGCCGAGATGGGGGGCTAAACGAGCGGTGCATACCGTACCCTCTGGCACGAGTGCGGCTCGGCCACAGGAGGGCACTGCAACACGGGCCACGAGCCGCAGTGACAGCAGCGCCCAGGGATCCGTCTGCCCGTTGGCCAGAAACAGATGAGAAAACGATCAAACCGAAGTGCGGCAGCAGAATCAACCCACATGCAGAAGCCCAGTTGGGGGCGGGTGCGTCGGGACACATTCTGAGCAGGTGAGGAGCCACAACCACCTGAAACAGCTCAAACAGCGAGCGCAAGAAACCACACAGCGCGTGCCAGGATGCAGCGGCACGAGATCAGATCGGACAGATCAGATCACTTGCTCCCTCGGCCGTATCACCACGTCGTTCACCTCCATGTGCGGCGGCGCGGCCAGGCACCACACCACCGCCCGCGCCACGTCAGCAGGCTCCAGCGGCGTGATGCGGCCGATGGCCGCCGCCGCCGCCGCGTCGTCCCCAAAGGCGCGCACCTTGAAGAACTCCGTGTCGACCAGGCCGGGGGATATGCCAGACACGCGCAGGGGGACGCCCGCCGCGCGCGCCTTGGGTAGGCACAGAGGGAGGCGGGTTGCCGCGGCCGGCCGGGTTGGGGGAGGGGGTGGGATCGGGCAGTTGTTGGCGGGGAGACACGGCGCGGACTACACAGTGGCGGGGCGGTCGAGGCCGCTGGCGAGCGCGCAGCGCACCCTGCGGCCCAGGAGCAGTGCACAAACCCCCTGTCTCTTCAGCCACAAAGCCAAAGGTTGCCCGCCGCCCCTCTGCATCCTTGCTAGCTACGAACACTGCTGCCCCAGCCCCCCGCCTGCCCTCGTCGCCTGAAAGCGGGCTGTGCCGCCGCCCCCCCCCAAACCCCTGAACCCGCGCGCCGCCACGCACCTCCTGCCGCAGGCCGTCTGTGACGGCGCGCACCCCAAACTTGGTAGCTGCAAAGAAGCTGCCGCCCGCCCCCGCGTCTGGGATGCGGTGGCCGCTGAGGCCGACCATGTTGATGATGTGGCCCCACTCCCCGCGCCGCCGCATGTCCCGCACGACCTCGCGTGAAGTCATGCAGCCGCCCAGCAGGTTTGTGGACACCATCTCTACCCAGCTGCTGGTGTTGCCGTCAAACAGCGACGCGTTGCTGCGGATGAAGGGGCGCGGGGTTGGTGTGTGTGGCAATGTGTGGAGTTGTGCACAGGTTTGTATGTGTGTAATTGTGTGTGCGCGCGTGCGTGTGTGTATGTGTGTGCACGCGCGCACACACGCGCGTGCACTAGCCATCACTGGGGCAAGCGCTTGATGGACAATGTGCGATGAGAGTTCAGACGGCGGCACGCCCCAGCCTCAGTTTCAACCCCAGCCGCTATCTGCAGACCAGAGCCCGCGGGCCCGCCTCGCCTTGGCCCTGCCTCGCCCCGCCCCGCCTTGCCCCAAGTCAGCCCCCATGCGCCCCCGCTCACTTGCGCGACAGGCCCGCGTTGTTCACGAGGACGTCGATGCCGCGGTCGGGCCACCGCTTGAGCACGATGCGCGGCAGCGCCTGGCGGCCCGGGAGAGAGGGGGTGGGGGTCGGGGTCGGGGTGGGGTGTGAGGGGCGGCGTTGAGGGTGCGTGGTGTGATGTGACAGGGGACCCCGAGCAGCCGCGCTGCGTGCAGCTGCTGCTGCGACCACTGCGCGCCACCGTCCAGCGGATTGGATCGTGGCCGCCCGTTGAACGCGGCCTGCAAATGGAACCGCAGGCTGTGGTGCGCGCTCGGGCGCCCCGACACCCTCGACGCGCGTCAGTCGCGCGTCGCACCCGCGCCTCCCGCGGCGCCGCCCTTGCGCTGCCTGCACCGCATCGCCTGCACTCCGGATGGCGGAGCGGCGTCCTGACGCGCGCAAAGGCGTGAATTTCATGTCCCTGCCTTCCTCACCCCCATGGACACCCTCCACCCCTTTGGCCCCCCCCTGCCCCCCCTTCCCCCGGTTACTCACAATCACATGCGCCCCAGCCAACCCCACCTGAACCTCCGCCTCCTTGGTGACGTCACACACCACCGGCAGGAAGTCCACCGCCTGCAGCCCCACCCCCGGCCCCAGCATGAGCCGCTGCAGCTCCTCGAGCCGCTCGCGCCGCCGCGCCACCGCGACGACGCGCATGCCTGGCAGGTGAGGCAGTGCGGCGTCAGCCAAGCAGCCCGTTCGCGCACACTAGGCCAAAGAGCCGCACATTTGAACATGTACACCTGACAATGCGTGAAGTTGCACTCAACACTCAGACTTCAGCCCCAATCGCAGTAGTGTCGGCGTCGAGCACCTTCCGCGCCACAGTGCCCAATAGGCACACGCGCATGCATGGGCGCCACGCGTGTGCATGAAGCGCTGCGCACGTGCATACGCGCCACGAGTGTGCGTGAGCGCGCCGCTCACCCGCACGGCCCAGCGCCTCGCACACCGCCCAGCCGATGCCGGAGGACGCCCCGGTCACCAGCGCCACCCTGCCGCGCCACCGCTCCAGGCCCGCCGCAAGGTCAGCCGCAGCCGCCGGGATCGCCGGCTCTGGGGCCGCTGCCGCTACTACTGCCGCCACGTGCTGCTGCTGCTGCTGCTGCTGGCTTGGGTGCGCGCGCGCCGACGACGGCGCCGACGACGCCTGCTGAGCAGCGCCCACACCGCCGCCCGCCGCCGGGGCCCCGACCGGCGCGCTGCCCGTTGTGGTGCCGCCGTCTGTGGTCGCCACTGACGCCGCCACAGCCGCCTCGTCCTCCTCCACGTCCTCCTCAACCTCTCCCTGCGTCAGGGGTGCATGGGATGACGGTCGGCCAGTGCGCCCAGCAAGGCCGCCAATGCACTTGCACTTGCGAGAGCATGCCGAAAGCGGCACCCTCCTCTTTGCCTCGGCTTCGCGCGACCTCAGATCGACCCAGATGAGAGATCCCGCCCACCTCGTCCTCGAGGATGACCTTCTCTGGCACGTGCCCCGGCTCCGCCTCAAGCCCCTGCGGCGGGCACCATGGTCGCGCTTGGGACCCACACGTGCTCGCAAGCACAGCTGCCGCCTCAACCCCTCCCAGCTCCCTTGAATGCGGCAAGGCGAAAAAGGGCCCAGCCCCCGCGCGAACCGCCCCGCCACAGTCATGACTCACCAGCGCCGCGCGCCGCGCGATGCGCGCCAGCTGCTCTGCGGTGCTGTCCAGGTCGTCGTTGATCAGCAGGTAGTCGTACAGCCCCTTCTCATTCAGGCTCGTGATCTCCCCTTTGGCAGCCCCCAGGCGCCGCTGCAGGTCAGCCTCGCCGCCGCCTTGCTCGCCGCCGCCGCCTGGCTCGCCGCCCTCGTCGCCACCGGCCACGGCGTCGCGCCCGGCGCGCAGGCGGCGCTCCAGCTCCTCCAGGCTGGGCGGCGCGACAAACACAAATATGGCGGGCATTTCGCTGGCGCGCACCTGCGCGGGGCAAAGGCAACGTAGCGGGTGCAGGATGGCGACGTGTAACGCTGTTGCGACCCATGGGATGCCCATGATTTCCCAGCCGCACGCGTCAGCTGGCGAGCTTAGCTGGACCCGTCATGCCCTGGCATAAGATTCAAGGGGCTGCGCGGTGCCGGCACGCTGGCAAAGCGCCGCTTTTATCTTTCCGCACCCTCCCCTCCCGCCTCCGCCCCCACCTGCCGCGCGCCCTGCACGTCGATGTCGAGCACCGCCACGCGCCCCTCCGCCCGCAGCGCCTCCACGGCGTCGCGCCGCGTGCCGTACAGGGCGCCATGCACCTCGGCGTGCTCCAGGAACTCGCCGCGCGCGATCGCCGCCATCACGGCCTCCTTGGGCGCGAAAACGTAGTCGACGCCATTCTTGGTTTTGTGTTTGGGAGGAGAGGGGTTGCGGCGGTCTTTGCAAGAGCCGGTGCACTACACAGCGGCGGCACCTGGCGCGGGGAAGGAGGCGGGGGCGGGCAAGAGCAATGCCTGCCGACCGACGGGAGGAGCACGCACAGCATGCGCGCCGACACCTGCACGCATGTGCATGCGTGCCACTATGATACGCGCATACGTGCGAGTCTGATGTGACGACACCGGCGACCCATGCCCGAGCGCCCCTCTCGCACGAGCCCGGCCCCACCTGCTCGCCCAGCCTCGGCGCGCGTGTGGTGGTTGACACGCTCAGGCGGTATCTCTCAGGGTCAGCGGACAGCAGCCTGGAGACGAGGGTGCCCTTGCCGACGCCTGCGTATGGCGCAGCATTCAGGCATCGTCGCTCGCCAGTCGCGGCGACAGCGGACGGCCGCCTGCACCTGGCGCGGTCTGGATCCGTGCCGCAAGAGAGCCGCGCCAAACAGCAGCAACGTGCGAGGTCCTAGGCACGGCGCATCGCGCTGCATGATTGCTCAAACACGGTCTCCATCGACAAGGCAGCATCAGAACACCCCCCGAACGCTGATCGATCGGGCGAGTGACTCTGCGCCGTGATCAACGCGAACCCCACTTACCGGAAGGCCCCACCACGATCAAGGCCTTAGGCTCCCCTCCTGAGCTGATCCCCTGCTCGTCGGCCTGCTGTGGCACCTGCCCCTCCACCGCAGCCTGCGTGCTTTGCTCTGCGCCCATCGCTTTAGGTTGCAACGTCAAAACTGAAAGCAGATGCAAACCGATAAGGCGTGGAAATGTGAAAGTTACGTCCATCCGCCCACCATCGATTTGCACAGGCAGCCTGCGAAGCTGCACTGCGGCGCTACTGATAACCATCCATTACCTCACCAACCGACAGCCAGGACCAGTAGCCGGGGACAAGCACACATCTGAGCAGACAAGCACGCTGTTCTCGTGCTCTCCGCATCCATGCAGGGGCCCGTCATGCTGTATGTGCCATGAGGCGTGGCAAGCATAATCGCCAGCTCGGCAGCCGCGTTGAAGGTCATGCCTGAGCGCAAAGACTGCCCACAGCGCCCGCAGCAATCTCGCTCGCTTTATGCCCAGGACAGTTTGCCTGTGACACGGCCTGCATATCAATTCCCAGTACCCCACCCACCGTCAATAAATCCCGATCGCATCCCTTCAATAACCACTGGGCGATGCTCAAACAGCCCCGTACATTCTGCCTGCACCAGTGTGGCGGGCTCTTGCCCCATGCAGTAAGATCCGCATTTCTTGTGAAGGTTTCAAGGCATTCTAAACCCTCTGGAGTGTGCTTGGATCTTGGGCAGTCATGTACACAAGGCAGACTGCTGGTAGGCTAAGGGCACTGGACACGTAGACACAGGCACGGGCCTTTCAGCGGAAGCGTTTATGCTCCTACAATAGCATTACATGTTCCGCAATACGAGCAGCAAAACTGACGGGCGTCGCTGCACGCACTCTTCGCGGGACACACCTGTGGACTCAAGTCGCCCACCTGAAAGGACGCGTGAGCGCAAGACGAAGGACCCAACACAGTCAAATTGTGAGGCGCCTGAGGACAATGGTGCACAGCAGTGAGTGTGAACATGGTGTGTGCGCAGTCACTGGCATGCGCACGGGGCGGATGCAAGCGCAGCAGTCTCCCACGACAGCCACAAAGGGCTGACTTGGGTGCATGGTAGAGGGCTGACGCCAACCCCGAATAGAGCGATGGCTGCTGGCAAGTGTGACGCCTGGAACTGCAAAAAATACATGCGTTTGTGAAGTGGCAGGAGAATGCCGGAGTGCCCACGTGCAGCACTGATTACACCCGCCCTGGCCCACGAAATCCCGCTCAAGTGCCGTCCTTCCCGCATTCGGGGGGCCATGAGGCAGGTCAAGTGAGCCTTTTGCAAGAATTTGACCAGGCCCGCAAAGCAGTCTCGCATGAGACCTTATGAAAATCCCAGGACAAGGTGATTTGGTTTGGTGATTTGGTGGACGTCGGAGAACCCTGATTCAACAACTGCCTGCGTCTAGAACTTATTCCCCCATGTGGGTCCATGCTCCAGGCCGCCATGTGTACGCGGCCTCCATGCTCCAGGCCGCCATGTGTACGCGGCCTCCAAATGCGCGGCAAAGGTGCTCGAATCACGTTGACGCATAGGCTGAGGGCACCACAAAGATTCCCTTCTTGCTGGACAGCGTGAAGGTCTGTGTCCATGTGTAGTGACCAGGTGGAAAGGTGGCCAGGTGATGAGGTGACTGGTGCGAATGTTGCTTGATGGGAAAGGGGGGGGGGTAGCTGGCAGCATGTCGCCTTCTCGAGAATGATGTGCGGTATGCATAGGAAGGTGGGCGCACATTTGGCCACCACACAAGAGTGCGTGCAAGCGAGACGCCTACGCTGACAGAAGGGAGGCCTAACACCCGCAGCCTTGTCCCGATCAGATGAGCCGCGCCGCCGCCTCAATGCAGGGACCCCTTACACACACGCACCGCTCGCGTCTCCACCTCAAAGCTGGGCGCAGGCTCCAGACGCACGCGTGAGAGCAGCACAGCCAGCACCACCTGCACGTACAACAAAGGGAGAACCGACAGGGCGATTTATTAGACAGGCTGGCTGCCACACCGGGCAGGTCATGCGGAGCAAAGCAGTTGGCCTGAGGGGACTGTCAACGTGTGCGCCTGCGCCCGCGCTCACACACACGCGCGCACACGCGCACACGCACACGCACACGCGCACACACACACACACGCATGCACACACATACACATACACACACACACACAAACAGACCACATGCGCTCACGAATGCAAGCACACGCGCACGCGGGCCCACCTGAAGCTCCAGCTGAGCAAAATAGCTGCGGACCAAAGCAGGAAAGGCAGGAGCACGGGGCCCCACGCATGTCAGCAACTGTTCAGACCGTGAGTGTATACGACCTTGATGTCTGCGCTTGCCAGCCACAGCTGTCGGCGGAGGTGGACGCGAGCAAGGAGTGTGCCCTCCCCCGCCCTCAGCCACTCACCGCCCGATGCAGGAGCGAGGTCCGACCGTGAAGGGCATGAAGGCCTTGTCAGCGTGGGGCGCCAGGGTGGGGGCATTCTCGGGCAGCCAGCGCTCTGGCAGCCACTCGCGCGGGCGCGGCCAGAAATCCTCGTGGCTGCAGCCAGGTGAGGCGAGTTGGGCAGTGCGGGGGGGGGGAGGGTGGCGTTGGGGCCCAAATTTGTGATTGCTGTGGAGGGTGTGTTGCTCCGTGGCGATCAGACAATGCAGGCAAACAGGCCCCACGAAAAATATGCTGTGAGGCGCTGCGTGTGGCATGTTGAGAAACTGTGCGTTGGACTGGGTCCACTTGCTGAGTTTTGAGAGGCCAGCAGGCAGGCGAGCATTCTAGGCAGCATGACAGGGTGTGTGCTTGCAGGTGAGGTGCTCGTTCGGTCCCGCATCACACCCCGTCCGTGTGATGTCAGGGGCACGCGCATTGAGCCCGAGCCCTCTGCAGGTGACCTCTCGATCCCGACGTGCCCTTTGCTGACACGCACCGGTGCAGGGAGTAGATGGAGGGCAGGATGTTGGTGCCGGCCGGGATGGTGTAGCCCCCGATCTCCTCATCCTGTGACATCAACAGGGTGGGGCGGCCAAGAAAAATGTGGGCTTAGCTCACTTGAGGTGCGCTGTTGGCCGCCAGTCTCTTCCTTGATCGTGAAAAATCACCACTCCCCTAGGTGGGTTGGACACCCAGTGACCAGCGTATTGACCAGCAATGGAATTCCCGACAAGGAGGCGCCGTGGAGAGGGAGGTGCTGCGGCCCGGTGCATCCCTCCCCTTGTCCGTCCCGCCACTATCGCCCTGCGGCATGCCACGGCACCAACCTTGTCCGCCACGCGCCCCGTTTCTGTCGCAGCAGGGTACCTGTCAGCGCGACGCAGTGTGAGATGCCGATTTGGGTTGTGAGAGCAGGCAAAGCAGGAGGGTGCTGCGTGACAGAAGCAAAGCTGCGGCAGGCAGGAAGGGAGGACCAGCCTGCCTCTGAAGTCAAGGGTGCAAAGCAGGGCCAAACCCATCACTGTTGAAGCTGCGAGCTGCGATGGCATAGTCGCCTGCCCGCCCTCTAGCACGGGGCCCTGCCGTGCGACAGCCCAGCCCGCCAGCTGCGCAGCCCTCACAGGCGCAGCGTCTCGTTGGCGACCCCCGTGATGAGCGGCAGCTGCCCCTGGAACACCTCTGCCGGCACGCCAGCCGGATCGCGCCCCCCAAGCACCGCCTGCGCCTCCGCGCGGCAGGCCTCCAGCAGGGTCGGGTTGCGCGAGAGCTCGTACAGGGCGAATGCCAGGGTGGTGGCCGTTGTGTCGGAGCCGGCCAGAATCATCGTCTGGCGGCGCGCCGTGTGCATGGAGGGCCCGTGCGGGCAGAGTGATGGTAGATTGTTTAGGGGGCAGGTCGGCCACAGTTGAAGAGAAGGGTCACAAAAGAGGGTTCGCCAAGTTCAATTGGGAGATTGGTTGTCCCGGCGTATGGGTGGTGCCTTGGGTCAGCATCATGGCCCCAACGCCCCTCTTGAGTTTGAACAAGTGTACGGCGCAGCAACGCAACCAGAGACATTGCGATAGCGTGCTGTGCCCTGGACCCCTGATGCGGCTTGGTTGCGTGCGTGCACCACGCGTGTCACAGCCAACAGGATTGCCAGGCAGGACCGAGCCTTCCAAACCACTGCTGGCTAGTGGCACGGCGACATACGAGCAAGCGGCGCCGCTGCCGTCACCCACGGGCCTGGGCTGCGACGCCCTCTCCGCAGCCCCGCCCCCCCATAGCCCGCACCTGCAGCTCGTCCCTCAGCTGCTTGTCTGTCATCACTGCGTTGCCGCCCTGCTGGGCCTGAAAAATAGGAGGTGTTGAAGACGGTGACATAAGAAAATATGCTGGTAGTACGGTGCCCGGGAGGCTGTGGTGAACAGGACATGCGGACGGGGCAGCGGGCCTACCACACCAGGCGCCAGGCAGGCAGGGCCAGGTGAGGTACAGCATGGGTGAGGAACAGCGCAGGCCGCGTGCGCGTCCCGCATCAGCCCCCACCTTAATCATGAAGGACAGCAGATCTGTGTCCTCCTCTCGCACACCGTTGGCCCGCTTCTCCTGTCGGTTTGGCGTGGGTGTGGGTGGAGACAGGCAATGTCAACAAGCAGGTCGGGGCCGGGATGGGGTGTACACCAGGCCAGGCACAATGCAAGGCTCGCTTTGGGCGCTGAACAGCACAGCATGTGGAGGCACACCGACACATAGTAGCACGATGAGTACGATCCAGCAAATCGAGGCAGCGCTTTGTGAGCAGCTTCCAGGTTTCTCGTCACTGCATAAACACAGCACGTGGCCTCACCTCGACCATCTTCTTGATGACATCATCCACCATGGCCACGCCCCTATAGTAGTTCTGTGAAGGTGGGGGTGGGGGTGAAGGTGGGGGTGATGCTAGAGTGGGGGGTGCAGAGCTGCAGCTGCCTTGGTTGGGGCGAGGTGGGTTGTCCAGGACCTGCAGTGTACCCAAGGCCCGATCAGGTTCTGGGCAATGCAGGACCCAGGCAAGCGGCGCATGTTCATAAGCGCCCGGCAAGCGACACGCACTCACCTTGATGTTGGGCAGGAGCGGCTCTGGTATAGGCAGGTCGAAGACGAGCCACATGGCCGGCTCCAGGATTTCGTCGTACATCTGGCACAGGGGTGGGTGGGTGCGTGGGGAAGGGACAGCTGAGACGGGCTTGGGGACGTCACCGCAGTAACGCATGGTTTCACCCCGGTCCATTAGGAGGACCGGGGCCGACATAGGCAACGAGGCAAGCGCAGCCCTGGCAGCACAGCAAGCGAGCAGCACCACGCCGGCGGCGCCGCTGCTCCGAGGGCGCTGCGCAGGCAGCTGGTCGCACCTTGATGATGTCAACATAGTCATCGCCTGTACGAAGGATTACGGGCGGGATACAGAGGCCGTTGAGGCGAGGAAAGGTGCAGGGTCCACGACATCACATGCAGGAGGGCTCGGCAGCATCCCAGTGACACGGGATGCGTTGGCTCACCTATGGCACCGCCCTGGACGTCACCCTGAGCCGCCCCATTCGCCGCGGCCTGCTGCCCGGCTGCCGCCTTGAGGGCCTTGAAATCAAAACCAAACCCTGGAAGTGGTGAGCAGAGAGTATGTGTTAGCGTGCATGCGTTTGTGTGCGCGCGCGTGTGCAGTGTGAGTGTGTGTGTGTGAAGTGTGAGTGTGTGTGCGTTTTTGGGGGGGTGCGCGCGCAGACGCCGTGAAATGCTCTTGTGCACGTCAGTGCATGTACAAGTTGTGGGTGCAATGTGACACCCAATGGCGATGGGCTGCCTGGATAATCATATGCAATCACACCCCGACGCATATCACGCACCCCTCGCCCCCTGCCCCGCCCACCAGTGCGTCCAATCACGTCCAGCGTCATGCGACGGCACAAGGGCTCGATATCTGCGCCACGGATGTGGGGTACAGGATGAGTGTCAAACCGCGCGCTGCACAGCCTCAAGGGGCGCGCTTGGAGGAGGCGCCTGGTTCCAGCGGGAGCGCTTGAAACCGTGCACTTGAGTGCCTGCTGCAAAAGACAACACGGTCAGGTGTTTTGGCAACAGCATCGCGCCGCTCTGCCTGCGAGGTGCGCCATGTCGACGGCGACGCAGCCTGGGGCACCCACCGCAGGGCTGCCCGTCGGCGCCCTCGATCACGGCAGCCAGCTCGTTGGCGCTGCGCACGAATGCCGGTACGAATCCCTTGACTGACGCGGACTTGAAGGCAGGCAGGAGCACCTCTTTGACGGCCTGGGGGAAGCAAGGGGCAGACGTGGAATTTGATGAAGGGGTCGAAGCTGGCTGGAAGGTACGGACAATTATCGGCCCATGTCGGCTCATGGCACACGAGCACTTGGCTACTGGGAGATGTGTGGTAGGCGCACCCCCCTGCGCTCCATCCCGCGCGTCATCCGCACGCCAGGAGCCTGCCCAAAGCCTCTGCCATCCAAAATACCCGCACCGCATGGTTGGGAAGGTCTGTGTTCGACGCAAGCCCGTTGCCCAGCCAAGCGCTGAGCCGCGACATGGAGGCCTCGGACTTTCTGAAGCGCCCCTGGTTGCGCAGCACGAGGTTCATATCTTCGGGGTGGCGGATGTAGACTGACTTGGTGCCCAGCATCTCCATCTGGACAGGGGACGTAGTGGCGTGCATCTTCACAAGGCGGGGCGGGGGCAAGGAGCCTGACACACAGAGCTGTATCAGACCAAGGGAGGAAGGGACAGTGGCATGTACGGGGCATCACGTCATTTCCGGTGAACTTCTAGGGCTCCACAATTTCTCCTCAACATGTATTGCTGCTGCTGCGCTAACCTCAGCCGCACCTCAAGCATGCGCACGCCTTGCTTGACCATGGCGGCATCCATATCCTTGTCTGGCGTGTTTGGCACGGCAGCAGTTGAGGGACAGCGCTGCGTGAGCGGTACAACGCACCTTGACGGCGGCAAAGCCGTGCCCTGCTGCTCCCTCGCACCCTGGTAACGCTGTAGGTACGCAAGCAGCAAAACGACTGGACTGGCGGCCAGCTGAGGCCCTGTGGGGCATGAGCGCGACTGATCCGGGGCAGGTGTTGCCCGTTGCCCCCCGCCCTCCTGCAGCTCAATGCTACTCACACAGGGTGAAGAGGTCGACCTGGCCAAATAATCCAAGCCAAGGCATTGTGTTGGGCATCTTCGGGACCGGGGCACGGGGAGGCGGGCTTGGCTGGGTCGGCTGGGGCACGGCTGCGACGGCGCGGCACCGGCAGACGTTTGCCCTGCGGCAGTCATGGCGGCATAAACAGCAGCAGTGGGCGAGCACATTGTGGCGTGCAGCAGGTGCAAGCGCAGGCACATGCGCCTACTTGCTGTGTGGTGGTCTCTGTTGGAGCGCGGCGTGGTGGCCGCACTCTGACTCACAAGACTGCGGTGCGGCTGGCTCGCAGAGCGCCGTGCTGCGACCACAAACACAACGGCACTCAGGTCCGCACACGCCTGCGTTGCCGGTGTTTCGAAAGGCCCACCTGCCATAGCCAGCGCGGGCTCGCCCCGCACGAGACTGCATGATGCTGCTGCGCTGCATCACCAGCGCTCAGTTGTAGTCGCACAAGAGATGGATTAAAAACCAGATTGAAAAAGAAAGATCGCGATAGATCTGGGGGGCACGGAGCGAAGTAAATATTGAATGAACCACGCTTAGAAATGACATTTAACGCGCGTTAATACGGTCGGGTAAGGCTGCGACCCTCACCAACCGTCCTGGGGCCCCACTTCACCGCTCGTCATGATGAGTTGCGCTGACCAGCGCCAGACGAGTGTGAGCACTTCGCTCATTCACAGCGCCGATCCGGCATCATCAACACGCAATGTTCACAACTTTGGTTTGAAAACTGGGTAGCACTGCCGGTCACATGAATAAACTCTTCCAGGCAGGCGAGCAGGGCACTTGCAGCGATTGTCAACCCCTCGATTTGACCAATCCAGATTAGCAGGGTTGATCATTCCGTACACCCATGCACTCAGCGAAAAAGTCTCTGCCAATAATCAAGATGAGAACCTGTAGGCCACCCCTTTTCTTGTCTCAGAACAAGTGTGTAGACACATGTCGCTGCGCATTGTGCATCGCAACGCCCACCAACGCACTGTTTTGTGGCTGCTCATCAGATACATTTAGCATGCACACGAGTGCAGAGCTATCACTTTAGCCCACTCATATGAGGCCCCAGAACCAGCGCTTGCAAGGGTCAACCTGCGGCCGCCGATGGCGGTGCATCGTGGGCGGCAGCGCTGCATGCGGCAATAAAACCATACAGCTGGCTGGTAGAGGGCCTGTGTACTAAGCCGTGTGTGACAGACATTACAGTACCAGGAGCGCCTGCAATCTCACTTGGTCCTAAGTAGTGTCCTAATCCTCGCATTGCAGCTGCACTGCATCCTGTTGGCACATTCGAGATGGATCATGGGTGCGCATGTGGGTCCCCGCAAACCCTCGTGTGACTTTTTTTGTCATCTGCAGCGGGTTCCGTTGGCCAGACTGGGTGTCAGAGTGGGTTGTTGCTGCAGCCAGGCAGCCAGGGCACGGACCGTTGTGTCACCGTGCAGGTAAAGGCATAACAATCACACGAGTCTGTCCTGTCGCTTGCCTGATCAAAGCGCCAAGAGATCCAAAACCTCAGTAGGATCGCGACTCATCATAGGGATGTTGCGTGCACAACCACACTGAGATGGGGCACGATAGGGGCACGAAACCTGCACGAATGGGCCTGGCCTGATCAGTCATGAGGGCAGTAGTTGTTGAGGTGTGGGGATCACGTGATGATTGTATCAGTGCATGTTTGATCCCGAGAGATACGTCCCGGCAGCGTACCTTTACAGCCCAAGCCGCTGCATCCTCATCCGGGCAGCACGGACAGCAAGAACACACGGAGCACACAGCCCGAGCTGCGCTTGTCAGGGCGGTCTGAGGGAGTCTTCTCTAGCTGATCCTCGAGCCTCGGCGAGCTTTCGAGCACCAAGCCAGGGCAATCAGCAGGTGATCTACGTAGAAATCAGCTGCAAGCGGCGCTCTCAAAGCCCGCAATCACTCTAGCGTAGCCCGATTTGTGCGAGTCGACGGCTTGCTCCTCTGCCCGACCAACCCCTTGCCCGTCGGGCCTGTCGACGCACGCCTGGCACACCGCAACGCAGAGGAGAGCAGCGCGTTGCCAGCAGCCCTCCGATCGCAGCAGCGCAATTCGAGCAGCATGGACGCGCCGCCGGGCTTCTTCGTAAAGCGAGGCGGGCGCGACGGGTCTGGTTCCCTGAGTCAGAGCCTGCCGCCAGACATTGGCGCGCCGCCCCCGCCGCC